CCCAGAAAGTCAAGGCTGCAGTGAGCCAAGATGGTGCCACTGCACTTCAGCCTTGGTGATGGAGCAAGACCCTGCCTAAAATAAAATAAAAGTTTAAAAGCTTTAAAAATAAGCAAAGAGCATACGATTAAAAATTTAAACAGCACAAAATGGTATAGAGAGAAAAGTGAATTTTTTTCTCCCTCTTGTTCCCGATTTCCCTTCCCAGTGGTAGCCACTCTTTAATGTATTCTTTCAGAGCTAATATATGCATATACTAGGATAAAAATATATGTTAAATCCATCTATTTGTTGATAACTAAAATTAAAATCCTGAGCCCCCCAATCAACTGAATGGACCCTCTTTTGGCCAAGGGGACCCCTGAGAAACCTTAAAAACTGAGTTCCTGGCATCAGCAGAGTCAGACATGCCTTGTTATAACCTCTCTCTTCTGTGGCTTAGACACAACTGACCAGCCGTTAAAATAGAGATCACAAAACTGATGGAACAGACTCTCTGTGGCAATAAGATACCAAATTACAAACAGGATCTAAGACCACGCCACAAAAGGGTTGTCATGCACCCCTGCACTTAAAGAATAACCTATGTTCTGGGCCAGGTAAAATGGCTCACACCTGTTTGGGAGACCAAGGTGGGAGGACTGTTTGAGTCCAGGGGTTTGAGACCAGTCTAGGCAACGGAGTGAGACCCTCTCTCTACAAAAGAAAAAGAAAAAGAAAAAGAAAAAAAATTAAATTACCTGAATGTGGTGGCATGCACCTATAGTCTCAGCTACTCAGGAGGCTGAGGTGGGAGGATTGCCTGAGCCCAGGAGATTGAGGCTGCAGTGAGCCATGTTCATGCCACTGCACTCCAGCCTGGGTGTCAGAGTAAGATCCTGTCTCAAAGATGAATGAATGAATGAATGAGCTATGTTCTAACTGCCTAAGGTTTCTTTTTTTTTTTTTTTTCCCTAGCAGTTAAACAAGTGCTGGCATTGAAATAAGCAATATTAAAACAATTGCAGCTCATTTACCACCAGATGCTGACTACCTGAGCCTCTGTCCCACAAGCCATAACCACAGCTTTGATTGGACAAGAGACTGATTTCAGTAACTTTCTCCTGATAAGAGACCACCGACCATGGACTGGTTCTGGCTAGTTGACAGTGGCTGATCACTTGAGTGCCTTTGTATTCCTGCTTCACCTTCAACATTAAATGCATTACATAATTATAATTGCCCTCTATATCAAAATGATATTATAATTACGTAATGCAATTAGTGTTAAGTCTCTACCCCAAAGTGAACATGGGATGCATGTAACATGCATGCTATTCAATATACATGTGTCAGGACCCCCCAAAGTGAATATTCAATCTGTTGAATGTGTATGTTTAGCCAACCCATTTAGCATAAAGCTCCTGCCTCAATCCTTCCTCCTCCAAAGTGCCTGCTAATGGTTTCTACTGTAGGCTATACTTCCAAGCCTGTCAGTATGGCCACCTTGCAGGTTTTAACTCTTTATAAGAAAAGAAGCCTCAGCCGGGTACAGTGGCTAATGCCAGTAATCTCGGCACTTTGGGAGGCCGAGGTGGGCAGATCATGAGGTCAGGAGTTTGAGACCAGCCTGGCTAACATGGTGAAACCCCATCTCTACTGAAAATACAAACATTAGTTGGGTGTGATGGCATGTGCCTGTAATCCCAGCTAATCGGGAGGCTGAGGCAGAAGAATCACTTGAACCCGGGAGGCAGAGGTAGTAGTGAGCTGAGATTGAGCCACTGCACTCCAGCCTGGGTGATAGAGCAAGACTCTGTCTCAGAAAAAAAAGAAAAGAAATCTCCTTTCTAAATTTGTGTATCTCAAATTTAGAAAGGTGATTCTTCAGTTTACACTATCTTCCAGCCTACCTATCTCTCTCCTGAAAAGACATACATAATACACAATTGGTAGACTACTATGCACAGGACTTAGCATCTAGTTTTTTTCTCTTAATTCCTAATTTCCAGATCATTCCATATCAGTATATAGAGATGATCTTCTTTATTTTAGATTGTTGCATAGAATGCTTCCATTCTATGATAGCACCATTAGATTACAAAATGAGAAGATGACTGTTGATTTCAGTAGACTTAAGGAAAGGGTGAGGAAGACTGGGAAGTCAGAAAGTAGAAGTAGAAAATTAAGTTGCAAAGCAAAGAAGGCAGAAAGTAAAAAAATTAAAGATGAGATAGGTAGCAGGTTTACACACTGTAAGTATATAGCAATAAGAAGAGAGACAGAGGTTGAAAATACATGAAGGATAAGGGATAAGTAATGGAAATGTAAATAAAAACTGAAATTCTCAGCTCCCCCACCAACTGAATAGATCTCCCTCCACCCTCTGTGGCTAAGGGGATCCTAAAGAAAACCTCAAAAACTAGTTAAGGCCATGATGGGAAGGCAGATTGGACATACCTCATTATACTCCCTCCCTTTGGAGTTTAGACCAGCATTAAACTGGTCTAAACCATTTTCATGAAATGAAAATAGAGATCGTAAGACTGACAAAACAGACTCCTGTAGCAATAAGATTATCCAACTCCAATCTGACTATGGTATAGCATTACAAGACAGCGGACCCTGAAGAAAATAAAAATATTTTACCCCAAAATATATTTCTTTGACATATTTTGAAATGACCCTGCAAAGCTGTCTCTTTTGGGGGGAATCTGCATTTTGTACAGAATCCCTTTCCTTTTTCAGGTCTTTTCCTGATCCAGGAGAGATTTAACCAAGAGTCTGACACATTTTAAGGTCCTATAACATATGCTACCTGGAAGCTTCATCTACATAACAAGAACCTTGGCTTCCACAATCCCCCTCATTTTAACTCAAACATTTCTTTCTGCTAACTTCAACTCTTTAGGAAAAGCTTAGCTTTTTCAACCAATCATAAAGTCTCTGAATCCACCTATGATCTGTGAGCACCGCCCCCACCTTTTACATGCATTGATCTATGTCTTTGCCTATAACTTCTGTCTCTCTAAAATGTATAAAACTAAGCTGTAACCCAACCACCTTGGGCACATGTTCTCAGGACTTCTTGAGGCTGTGTCCCAGGCCATGGTTACTCATGTTTTGATCAGAGTATATTTAACCTCTTCAAATATTTTACAAAGTTTGTCTTTTTTCATCAACAGAATAAAGTCTTTCCTTTGGGTAGATTGGAAGGATACTGACTTCAGGTGGAGACATTAACCTTGAGAGGACAGAACACCTCTTCTAAGAAGAAAGAGGGAGAAGAAAAGGACTCCGTGAAAAGGAGGCGGGCTCGGTGGCTCGCCCTGTAATCCCAGCACCTTGGGAGGCCGAAGCGGGTGGATCACTTGAGATCAGGAGTTCGAGACCAGCCTGGCCATCATGGTGAAACCCCATCTCTACTACAAACACAAAAATTAGCCGGACGTAGTGGCGGGCACCTGTAATCCCAGCTACTCGGGAGGCTGAGGCAGGAGAATCGCTTGAACCTGGGAGGCGGAGGTTGCAGTGAGCCGAGATAGCGCCACTGCACTCCAGTCTGGGCGACAGATCGAGAGACTCCATCTAAACAAAACAAAACAAAACTGGTTGTAGGTAGGTTTTGTGGTAGTGGCTGGTGGAATTTGAGATTTAAGGAAATTCACTTCTGATGGTGAATTTCACCATCAGGAAAAAAAAAATCACTTTCCTCAGAGATGTAAGAAACAAAGTTTTTTATTTTTATTTTTACCAAAGCGGGTGAGTACAGTTCAATAAGAGGTTAGAAAAGTGTGAGGGCTGGGAACAGTAGGGGAGGGGAATACGAGATAATCTGAGTAGCAATGTGTAAACGTGACTGTTTTAGGCTCAGCAATATTGCGTAGTCGTATGTGGAAGTCCCGACCGAAGTTGCACACTTTTGGTTCGCAGTGGTGCCAATTCTCAGGGGTGTGTGATTTTCTGCACCGATCCAGGAGTGAGCAAGGCTGGGTGAACTGTTGCAGACTAACAGTTTTGCAGGTGGGCGAAGGATCAGGGAGGAAATTGACTTGAGGGTGTTGGTGAGTATGATACAGGAGTTTCAGAACCTGACTACACATCTGTCGTTGATGGTCTAAATATTTGCAGGTTTTGCAGGTCCAGCGATGGCACAATGCCTAGCAGCAGAAGGTTTGCACCCACTGTGCGACGTGAGTGGTGGCTCTGGAAAATCATAAAATCATGGGAGGACTTGGGAGTGCAGGCTAGGTGGGGTGGGACTGTGGCTGCGACAAACAGTGTTATGAAACTGCGCGGGACAAGAAAACTGATTTTACTGATTGCATATTGGGGAGTCCTACGGGAATCACTGGAGAGGCAATTCATTTTCTCCTATCCCACCCCATCTTTTGGGGTTGCAACTAACCTGTAAGTTTACATATTGCGGATACAATGGCACAACGGGGCCGCGAGGTGATGACGTCATTCGCGGGGGCGGGAACAGCGACCACCATTAGGGTACAGTCCATAAAGGCAGTTTGAAAATATTTCAGCCTTTTTACTTGCATACTTCCGGCCCTTGCAGTTTGAGGTGGTAACAAACGACTGCTGCTCCCAACCACTCTCACCACCGCCTGTTACCATGGAAGCGCTCGGGTAGCTAGGCTTGGACGACTCTATTCTACGTCATCGTCAAAGCACAGCCCAGGACTGATAGCTCCGCCCTAACCTAAGGGAGGGGCTGTGCTCCCAAGAACGTAGCCTGCAGTGCCTAACGCATTCTCAGTAATTTTGTCCCCCAACAGACGCCGTCGCCAGTCTCCCAAGAGCAATTCCCAGGAGCTCGGATTCCAAGAGCCCCTCCGCGCCGGCGTTTACCTTAGCTAGTCGCCCTGCAGTCCCGCCCTGTCCGGAGGCCCCGCCCTCCATGAATCAGCTGATCCCGCGGACCCACGGGGTTGCCAGGATCGCGCCGGATGCAGAGCGCAGTGCTGCCGGTGGAGCTTCAGGTGAGCGAGCGCGGGTCCCGGGTTGGCTATTGGCTAAGGAGGGCTTATCGGCTGCGACCCCTTGTATGCGGAAGACCGGGGACAGGGAGCTAGGCAGAAGCTGTGGTCGAGGCCCGAGAGCGCGCTGCGGGGGCCTGCGGAGACGGCGCCCGCATCTTCCCGGCTCTGCGTGCGATCGACTGTGCCTGCCGGTCCAGTAGCACCCGAGGCGGCCCCTGCCTCGGCCCCAGATTCTCCCACTTGCCACGGTCTCTCCCTCCCCAGACTGGGCTCCGCTGCAGTGGTCTCAGCCGCGTGAAATTCCTACAGCCCCCCTCTTCCCGCCTCCACCCACGCTGCCTTCCAGCTATTCATTCATGAGAATTTGTTGAATGCCCACACTAGTCGCTGAGCTGATAAACTGCGGTCCGTGGCCGGGAACCCAGCTGATTGTCCCTGGCGGCCTTGCCACAGGGTGCAAATCGCGTTGAAGAGTGGACCAAGGGTTGCTTGAAAAGGCGGTTACGGAGAAAGAAAATGGCTTTGATAATAAGAATTAGTAGTTTAGGCAAGTCTTTGAGCGTATCAAGTGATTTATCAAGAGGAGAAGATAAGTTATTTTGAGAAGCGAAGCCAGGAAAATAACACAGGTCCTTGACGCTGGTGTTGGTCCTCGGGTAACAGGACTGCTTTGAAGACAGGCAACAGTAGACGGGTAGAATCGTACTATTGCTTAGGGCTTTGATGGTGGAAGAGGAAAAACACTCTTGTTGAAGTGGCATATCCGAGTACAGTGCTTTCTTTCTGGTTTAGGGTGGAGAAGGAACTGACTGCTGTACCCAAATGAAGATCTTTACTCAATTACCCTTATATTTGGCTGTACGGAATAAAATTGTGTGATATGTTTATTCTGAGCAGGTACGAAACTTCAGCAAACCTATTAGTCCCACATTTTCCCCCCATTTATCATATGATTTGGAGTGACCGCTTGACCTTTGAGTTAATGAATAATTTAAAGCAGTGAAAAATTTGTTTTTGCAGTAAACTGCAGTGTTTTGACCTTAATAACATAAACATAGTGGTTAAGATTTTAGGCTTTGCATCTGAACATGCCCAGAGTCACATCCATTAACATCTTTGACTTTGGGCAAGTTATTTAATCTCTCTGCCTCAGTTCTCTTGTCTCTAAACTGGGGATAACAATGTTTTCCTGATGACAGTACCTTTACATGTAATGGTTCATGTATCATATTTATTACAGTGCCTGTTTTATGGTAAGTATTCAATACATATTAGCTATTTTTATAATTAATTCCTCCCACTACATCATGATCCAAACTGACTTTTTTCCTAAGTGATGGGGAAGGGAACTGAATATTTTAAGGAAGTAGCTATAAAATATGATTTCAAGTTGTTCCGTAGTAATTTTGGTATTCCATAAGGACATTTTAATGTGAAAAAGATACTGGCAGAATCCATACTTGGTTCGAGTTTATTAGCTTCTAAACTATGACCAGTATTGGCAGATTTAAAATTCATAATTATAGCAAGAAAACGTCAAAACTGTTTAACAGTGTTAACATTTGAAAATGATCCAGAAAAATGAAATACCAAACAGGTAATTCTGGGAAAAAGAACAAAACTTGAGTGGCATTATGTGAGCCATTTATTTTTTAAATGTGTACAATATAAACAGGAATCCCTTCTCTCCAAATTTCAGTTTTTCAGAATTTGGGCTGTCATTTGAAACACTTACTTTGGGCACTTTGACTGTTAAAGACAAAAGGTATGCTAAGAACTTCAATGAGTCTTGATGTAGTGTTTTTGTAATTAGGTGGTATCTCCTACCTTTTCATGAAAAATGTGGGTTTAAAGCAGTAGCTGCTGGGTCCATTCTAATGATAATCTCAAAAATGTGACTGACTTGTAAAAATCTACAATTATGTATTAATGTGAGACTAGGTAAAGTATGAGTTGAAAAACTAGGAAGAAAGGCAGAGTGGTGATTTTTAAGCTTGTGTAAAAGAAGGCCTGCTTTGGGTGCGTGAGGTACCTTTCTCACTCAGAGGCATGCTGTGAGGATATGTGACTTTTAAATCATTTAGCTCTTTTTATAACTTGGTGGAATTAAATCTACCACGTATTTCAAGTGTATTCGGGATATGAATTTTCCTGATAGAATTTTAACAGATTTTTGTCTCTTAACCCTTCATTGATGCCCAAACAATTTTGTTATCAGTAATAAGAAAGTACTCTGTTTTGTAGGGTGTCAGTCCTTAAGAAAATGTTAGGTAATCACCAATAAAATAGCAACAATTTCTGGCTTCTTTTTAGTATTGCATTTAATTTTCCTTTCCCTATCTCTTATTCCTCTGTATATGTGATGGTACTTTCTTTAGCTTATAGCTTGTGTCTTGATGTTTGCCTGCATGTAGCTGAACTGATTGATCCAGGTGGGTAGAGAGAAAAATATTTAAATTGGTGAGATAGTAGTTTTTGGAGCTATCGTATATTTCTTTTAAATTTGAAGAAAATTTACGGTTTTCTCAACACCTGTGAGAAAAAGACTGGGGTTTGTTGGCAGAGGTTCGCTTAGCTGCTAATGAATTATGTCCAGAGAGAAGATCAGCTTTCGTCTCATTAATTCCACAAATTGATCATCTCATGTTTCCCTTAATTATCACATTTTAAATATTTTTCTTTTGAGTCATCACACAGTTCTTCAGTTCACATGGCCTCCCTGTTAGGAAGGGAGTGGTTTAGACCCAATAATAGCATTCAGGTGGGCTAACATTCACTCCAGGATTTTTTTTTTTCTTCCACAGCCTAAATTTTTGTCGAGCCAAGATCTTAAGTAACTTGGGGCAATTGCCTAAGCAAACATATAACAAGGATGATTATAGCAGCTCTTTAAAAGAGCAATAAAGTAGAGCGATCCAACTGTAAAGATTAGTAGGGAAATGGATAAACTGGTTTATTCATGCAATTCAATACTATCTTCTCATAAAAATGAATGAGCTAGATCTATACTTACCAACATATATACATCTCAAGTATGTAATACTAGATGAAAAAAGCAAAATGCTAAAGGATTTATACAGTAAGACACATTTATGTACACTTTAAAAGCAACATAATAGCATGCATTATTTATTGATATGTGTATATCTAATGAAAGTACATAAAAGTAAATATAAAAATGTGGGAATGGGATACATTAACTTTAGAAATAGTAACTAATTCTGAGTGGAGCTTCTTCACCTCTGTTACTTATTTTTTCTTGTATTTTAAAGAAAGAGCAGAAGCCAATATGAAAATATATTAATATGTGTTAAAACTGGATGATGAGTACATATATTTGTTATTTATTTTTATGGTTTTATGTATAGTTAAGATAGTTTGTGAAACTAGCACTTTAACATTTTTATTTATAATCAGGGCTGTTTCCCAATATGCTTGCTTTATTTTACTTTGTACCCTCAAATTAGGAGACTGTGGAAAAATAACTCTTCTCTCCCTGCAATAAGAAAGGAATGTGCCAGTGCAGCTCCACTGTGTAAAGCCTTTCTAAGGAGAGGAGACAGACCAATTATTTGGTCAGTTTTGCTTTGCTGTTTGTGCTCCTGGGAAAATGCTTTCTTCAGGACATGAAGCCTGCAGGGTCATTAACATTCTAGAGATGCCTGGGAAATGTAGGCATATACCAATCATGAACTCTGGAAGTATAGGGGAGCAAGTTGTATAATAAGGCCCTGAAAGGAATTTGGACATAGAGTGACTCAGATACAAAATTACTACAGATTTGTGTAGTATTAACATTAACACTTTACAAAGCTTAGCTTGGTTACATTTTACTACAATGTAGTTACCTTGAGTTTATACCTTGAGTGCAAGTATCCTAGTTATTGCTCAAAGAAAATAATTGTCTCTGTAGATATTACTAAGTAACCTGATGACAGTGTATTAAATTGTTGACTAGTTAATAAAACATTTAGTAGCTGATCCCTAATGTAACCTCAGTATCTAAACTTGTGAGTTAAACAATATTTTCATTTCTAATAAAGAATACCTGCTACTAGCACTATTGAAGTAAGTGAAACTTGTATCACCAGAGTGATATTTTTTAGTGTGTATATTTCCTGTTTGGTTATGTGGCCCCTGAATGATCCTAAGCACTGTTATCAGTTAGTAAAAGAAGTCATCATACTTTGAACTGTAAATCTAATATTGCCTTTAAAAAATTGTGGCCATTTTAATAAGAGAGTAGTTGCAAATATTAAGAGAATAAGTAGTTTGTATCAGGACTTACCAAGACATTCACTGTACCATGTAATAACAGGCACAAATAGTGGCAGTACCTGGGAATTTGAAATTCAGTTGTTAGTATTATAATATTCATCACAATGCATCGTGGGATTATTATTTAATAATCCTGAAAAATGTGTTTAATAATATAGGGTGGGTACAAAAAAGAGCTAAGTGGGCATTGCTGGGAAATTATTGTACCATGTTTACACACTTTCACCCCCTCCACCGTGGATAATTTCCCGTTTAGAGGATCCTCATAACCAAGAGAGTGTAGTTTCAGTAAGTTTCAGCATGAAATTAGCAAGGCATTAAAAAAGGACTGTAAAATCTTCCTGTTTCTCATTGCACCAAAAGCTGTCTGTGTATAAGGAGAAAGGGAGAAAGGAACACTTCTCTGAGTTGTTTAACCCTTTTTAAAGTGACATGAGATAAAAGTAATTTCATTGTTAGGATATACCTTTAGCAAATTATATATGAGAGTTTCTATTAGGAGAAGACAGTTTTTTCTTTTGTATCTGATACTGAATTTTATTACAGGCACTAGAAATCTATAGCATGGAAGTCTGTGGATTGGAACTGAAAATCAGGGGCTGTATCTTTCACTCAAGCACTCGCTTAAATGTAACCAGCTTGTTCAGAATGATGATTATGGGTACAAGAGTATATCAATGAGTAAGTCGTAGTCTCTGACCTCCAGGAGCTTAAAATATATTTTGAATCAGTGACTTAGTGCATATCCTATTAGTAACAAAATTATAACTAAAAAGTAGCTTTCTAGGCCAGTCTACTGAATATATCCAATGCCTTAATTTACTGAATTCCCTCACTCTGAGTCAAGATTTAAAGGCTCATTGGCTCCCATACTGGTATCAGGCAATGCTTTCTGTGCAGCAGTTAAGGCTGAGAGGTGTGGGGTTCCAAGTGGCCTTCTTGGTGGTTGGTTGGCCAAGGCTTCAGTGCAAGGCGAGTTTTCCTCAACCTTCCACAGTGGTTGGTGAAGGCTTCAGTGGCAGGGTATCCAGGAAGTAGCAGTTGTTGTTGGTGTATAGATTATTTGTAAGTCAGGTGTTTGAGTCAAAGGTTACCATAATCCACTTGTAAATGTTGACCTAGCCTCTAAAAGCAAATTATTTATTAAGCATTTACCATGTGTAAAATACCAGACTCTGTTATTGTTTACTGCATTCAAAGTATAAACTCTGGTTTACTACATTGTAATAATATGTAACCAACTCAGATTTTAAAAAGGAGGTGTTAATGGCTATATGAAATTGATGGTAATTTTGTATCCAAATCTCTTGTCACTCTACTACATTGTAATAAAATGTACCCAACTCAGACTTTTAAAAGGAAGTGTTAATGGCATGAAATCTATGGTAATTTTGTATCCAAGTCACCGGTCACTCTATGTCTATATTCCGTTCAGGGCATTATGATACAGTTTACTCCCCTATTATTTTTATTGCCTTTCTATCTGAATGTCTTGTCATTCTAATCACTGATTGACATTACTCTTATAACTACAATTATTACTGTTGTTTTACTATTTTAAACCAGTATTTGAGACAGGAGAATAAGACTAGGAAGGCCCAGCTTTGCTAGTGTAAATTAGCTTTCTTATGCCTTAAGGTACTGTGTAACTCTATAGAGAGCCATTATTCTAGTGAGAAAGAGAACATATTAGTATGGAAATTTCTTAAGGGCAGAAACTCATGTATTTACAGATATTTATTGAGTACCTGTTATACGTCAGAACTAAGCTGCTGGGATGTACTAGAGAGTACGATGTTTGTCACTCTGCTCGCATGGAAATTTCAGACTAGCATAGTACCTGGAACATAGTAGATGAAAAAAAATGCATGTGGTTTCAGTGGTTGAAATTTAAGCATTTGAAAGTTGTTATACTTATGACTCACAAATTTACCTTTCACCGATTTAAGCCAAAAAGACTTTATCCAGAAAATAGTTTAGTAGAGATGAATATGTAGGATCCTGCATGACTTAACTTTCTCTTTGCATTTGGGATAATAGACTCAACATATTTCTGTACCACATTTAAAATTTTTATTTATATCCTGCCTTGTTCCCAAAAGGATTTAAAGCAGCTTACAAAAATGTATAGCAGGGTGGGATAAAATAAAGAAACAGAATGAGTAGAGCCAGGAGGGAAATTAGACTATACAACATGCATACTGTGAAGTCCTCGTCACTTACAGGTACCATCATATGGAACCCTTATCCTCCCACCACAAAATTTATAATTCTGCTTATATCAGTACCTGTGATCTCGCTTCTTTCAAAAACGTAGACCTTTCTTCTTATGGAAAACAAACAAACAAACGAACAAACATCCCTCCACATGTATTCTGGATGGCATCCTCCTTCACATTGTCTAGGACTTTGGCTCTGCCCACTGTCCTCATCATCCTTCTATCCAGGATCACAGTCTTTGTCGTGCAGACATGTTCAGCTTCCTCT